TTTTGACAACCACCCATGTATGTGGCATTCCATCGATCTCTGAGCCCCTAAACTTAACCGCACATCTTAAGCCCTGAACCTGCCTTAGAAGTCGTCCTACAGTTCCTAAAGGCTCAGACCCTAAGCCACACCGGCCGGTCCCTCCTCCGCAAGCGAAGTGGCGCAAAGGTCTCCGAGGTAAGTGGCTCAAAGCTGCCTGTGACCCTGACCGTGACGTCCACCTGCACTTTGAAGTACCCTAAATGGAGTTACCCCGGGTATAACCCCACTTATAACCGATTTACTAAGTCCCCTACACGATGTCTGTCTTGCTACACCTGCCGCACCTGCAACTGCTGTGCCTGTTTGAGTGTTCTCAAGGCCTCTCCCTGCTGCGCTGCCAACAAGACTCTTCAGATCTCGTGGCAGAGCTGGCGGGAGAAGTTCAAGGGCGCCAAACGCGCTGCACCCCTCCTCCAAAAGCGCCTCCTGCAAAGCAGCGCTTTTGCAAAGAGCAAGAAACTTGGTTTGCCTGCGGGCTCAGGGCCACGCCCGCCGGTTTAGGGTTTAGGTGGTAGGCCTGGGAGCAGGACGAGTCGCATTTCGAGGGGCCTTGGAGCTTGTCCGGAGTGCGCCTTAAACTTAGGGTTAGGGTTTAGGCTTTAGGGGGTTTAGGGTTTAGGGTTTAGGGTTTAGGCTTTGGGGTAAACCCCAAACCCTTGAACCCCAAAGCGTTCTAAACCCTCCCAAACCCACGCCTAAGCAGTGTAAAGCCCGTAGCCACGGCGGAATCTTCTGGTGGGCTTGTCGGCATCGGAACTTTGAGCCGCCCCGAAGCGCACGAAGGCAGCAAGAAGGGAGCAGCCTCCCGGTTTTAGGGTTTAGGGTTTAGGGTTTAGGGCTTAGGGTTTAGGGTTTAGGGTTTAGGGTTTAGGGCTTAGGGTTTACGGTTTTGGGGCCAAGGGTTTGGGGTTTAGGGTTTAGGGTTTAGGGCTTAGGGTTTTGGGGCCAAGGGTTTGGGGTTTAGGGTGTAGGGGTGCCCAAATACTTACCTATACTATTGTTGGGGTTCCTTCTTTTCAATATAGTATAATATACCCCAAAACCCTATTCTAATTATTAAGGTCCCTGCATTAGGCCTAGGGTTTTGGGGCCAAGGGCTTTGGGTTGTGTGGCTCAGGGTTTAAGGCCTCGGGTCTTAGCCTTGCCCCAGGGCCTAGGTAGGGGTTTAGGGTTTAGGGTTTAGGTGTTACGGCTCCTTTTTGGGTTCCCTTCAGGGTTAAGATTGAGCCGACTAGTATGTTGTAACATCCGTACATACTTGTCGGTGCAATCTTGTAATAAAGCCCTACACCCCTGAGACCCTAAACCCGACACCCGAAACCCTAAACCCTAAACCCTAAACACTTCAAAACCCTAAACCCTAAACCCTAAACCCTGAACCCTAAACACTTCAAAACCCTAAATCAACTCCTGGGACCCTAGACCCTTCAACCCTAAACCTAAGCCCCTAAGACTAGCACCCTAAAATTCCAAAGGCCCTAAACCCCAAACCCTTAACCCTAAGCCCTAAGATCCTAAACCCCAAACCCGAAAATCCTAAGCCATACCCCCTGTGAACCCTAAACCCTAAACTCTAAAACCCTAAACCCTAAACCCTATAAGCCCTAAACCCTAAGACCCTAAGAGACAGAGAGGATGGCAAGCTGAAGTCAAAGCTTCTCGGCCTCGTCACCCGCCGCGATGCCGAGTTTGTGTACCACAACTCCGTGGTGGTGTCGGCGCCTATGCTAGAGATGTTCTTGGGGTGCTTACGGGCTTGGGGTTTAGGGTTTAGGGGCGTTTGAGGGTTTAAGTTTTAAGGTTCAGTGTTTAGGCTTTAGGGTTGTGGTTTTGCGGACTCCTTCGGGGTTAGTTTTATTCAAATTCCAACTTGTACATACTGTTTGAGGTCCTCTATCACAGGGTCTACGCAGTGAGTCTATCAGGATTTCCAGTACTTTTCTGCAGTGCTAGAGTTAAGGCTTACGCTTTCTGAACCCTAACTAAGCGCATTTTGGTCGGACCAGATCTCCGCGAAAGTCCACGCCCAGCCCTCTCCGGTCTATAAAAGCCCAGCATGTGACGGCCCTCCAGGGTTCAAGGGTATTTTTGGGGGATTCCGAACAAGTTCCAGACAATGTAGAGGTCTAAACTAAATTAATACCATGTTTAGAACCCGTCTCTCATGAGTCTTACATGCGCTGCAAGCCGTCTCCACATCTCCAGGTTGAAGTCTTGCAAGCCTAATACTTCAAGTCTGTTTTGTCAGTCACAGGCTTGCTAGGAACTGCGATTGAGGTTGCGAATGCCACTAAACCCTAAACCCTGAACCCTGAACCCTAAACCCTAAACCCTAAACCCTGAACCCTGAACCCTAAACCCTAACTAAGGAGTTCATGACTCCCGCAGAGAAGCTGCGGACTGCCAAGGAAGGTATCGGCTTGAAGTGCCCCGGCAAGCCAAAACCCAGAGCATGCAAACCGGGCGTTTAGGGTTTAGGGGTTTAGGGTTCAGGGGTTTAGGGTTTAGAGGTTTAGGGTTTAAGACGCCCCACAAGGCAGTTAGCACTGGAGAAAGAGCAATAATCGTCTAGATCACAGACAAGGCCAGAAAGACCACTAAGCAAAAATACTTCGAAAAACGCAAGTTATCCTGTAGACATGCATGTGTCCATTTATGTATGTACTAAACGCTGTTCACGTGCAGTATAATGCACACAGACCCCCCACAGGCACGTATATACATACGTACATACATACACACATACATACATATTCATGCATGCATGCACGCATCCATTTACATACGTATATGTATATATATACACACATACGTATATACACGTACATTTCTATATATATATATATACAGATGTATGTACATATATATATATATAGGTATGCATGTGCTTTTGTAAATATACATGCATATATATATATATATACATACATAATGTATATGTATAACGATAAATATGTGTATATGTATATGTATAATGTATACGTATGTATATGTATATATGTATATGCAAATGTATGTGCGCAGATGCATATCTTTATACATGCATACAAGGGTATAAACACATGAATGTGTATGTATGTCATGTATGTATATATCTATGTATATATCTATGTGGGGGTTTCCGAAAATAGGGGACCCTAATATAGTACCCTAAATAATAGGATCCCTATTATAAGGACCCCAAAATAAGGTACCCCCAATTTTCGGAAACCCCCATGTATGCTTGTATGTATGTATGTGCATTCAAAAGCCCCGACCATGAGCCTTCAGAACTAGCAAGCAGCCTAAACCGTAAAGCCTAAACCCTGCACCCGAGGCGTTTGGTTTAGGGTTCAGAGTATAGGCTTCAGGGCTACGGGATTTAGAGTTTAGGGTTTAGAGTTTAGGGTACAGAGTTGAGGTCTTAGATGGGCTCAGAGTTTAGGGTTTGGGGTTTGTTGCTCTTCAGTGTCTCGCACCTCAGGGAAGCCAACGAAGTCCTCTGCTCGTCGAAGAAGGGAAAGCTCCCGATCCTGAATGGCAAAGGCTCCCAGGGTTTAGGGCTTGGGGTTTAGGCTTTAGGCTTTAGGCTTTATATAGGGTTTAAGGTTTAGGGTGTAGGATTTGGGGTTCAGGCTTTAGGCTTTCAGACTCGGGATTCAGGGTTTGAGGTGTTAGGGCTTAGGGGGTTTAGGTGTTAATTTTACAAGGTTTTTTTTGGGGGTGTGGGGGGGGACTTTTGGGTTTTAAGTTTACGGGCTTGGGGCTTAGAGCTTATAGGGTTCAGGGTTGAAAATAGGTGCCTTGAGAATGAGACCAGGGCTTTGCTTTTGGGGTACACTCTGCTACATCACAAACTTAGAGCAACCTGAAGGTAGTACTACTTTATTCACTTGTTAAGACGTCCATGCTGCTTGCAGGCAGGGTGTGATGATCAGAGCGTCTGGGAATCTAGTATGTAGGTGTTTATAAAGGTTTTCAGGGGAAGTTTACTATTGGTTGGGGTTTAGGATCAGTGGGCTTAGAGCCGGCCTGACAAGTACTGAAATCAGGATTTTCTGAAGTAGTTGCTTACGTCCAACGAGCCTTCAAGCGAGGCTTGTCCCTCGTGATTGGGGTATCTCTGCTGAAAGAGTGAGCCCGAAACCCGAAAACTACACCTCTGACATCCTAAACTCGCAAACTCCCAGACCCCAGACCCCCAAAATCCCGCACCCCCAAGACCCTACACCCCCAAACTCCCAAACTCGCAAACTCTCAAACCCCAAAACCCCAAAACCCCAAAACCCTTAGAAGCAGCAAGGCCCAAACCCCAAGCCCCAAACCACCAAATAAACCCTCAACCCTTTACCCCTAAACCCGAAAAGCCCGTCCTAAAACCCCAAACCCTAAACCCAAAACCCTAAACCCTAAACCCTAAAATGCCCTACACCCTAAATGCCTCAACCTTGCGCTCCCATGCGGCCATGGGATCGTACGAAGCTTGCTCCCGGAACCTTGCGCTGAAGCCGGAAGCCCTTGTTTTGAAGGGCTTCTTTGGGTGTTAACCGCCGGGGTTTAGGGTTTTGAGCTCTAGGCCCTCGAGGGGTTTAGGCTTTAGGGTTTAGGGTTTAGGGTTTAGGGTTTAGGGACACTTTCGGGGCTTGCGGATGGAATCGAAGAAGCCGTCTTGTTCAGGGGAGCTGGTTGCCTTGCTCTCGCGCACGGATCTCCTCAAGAATCAGGATTTTCCGGATGCTACCAAGGACCCGCATTCAGAGGTCTTCAGAGGGCCTGCAGGGGGCTTCAAAGGGCTTAGGGTTTAGGGCCTTTAGGGTTTAGGTTTTAAGGTGTTGTTATTGTTTCTGGTGGTCGTGCACACGCATCCGAGCCGTTTGACATATATTGTTTCTGGTTGTGTGTGGAGACTGCAGAATCCTGCTTGAAGTCCTTGGGAGGGGGCCGTGGGGGTTGAGTCTTTGGGTTTAGGGTGGCGGAAGCCTTCTTCATCACCGGCCGTCTCCATAAATGCTGTTTCTTCGGTAGATGTGCATACTTCCCGCCACATGAACCCTGACTACATGCACGTGCATCAGGTATACATACGCATGTCTGGCACGAACATGTACACACGTGTGTGCACTGGATAAGGGTCAAGGGGTACTATTGGTGGCAGGATTGAAAGCAAAAGGTTTTACTTACAGGGCTTCCTTGGGCTTTGTAAGGGTTCATGGTGTAGACGTTAGGTTTAGAGGCTGCTGGAGCTGATTTGTGAGTTTTTGTTTTTTCTTAGGGTTCCTTTACGTCCCACGGAATCTATATTAGGGTTTGATTTGGGGTTTGAGGTTTGGTCTTGCTTGTGTGGTTTCAGGTTTAGGTTTAGGGTTTGGAGGTTTACTAGGCTGCTGAGCAACCCATGGGAAAACACAGATGCTTTTTCGGGTTTTTATATTACAGCAGGAACCCAGAGACAAACAAATAGAAACCCACCATTGGAGAAACTAAGCATATGCGCATACACGAATTTGAAAAAGGACGCTGTGCATGCGTAAGTTTCTGCACTTGTACCACTTGTACACATCCTGGTACTTGTACATGGCCTCTTCCTTGAGCATTTATGTAACGACACACCAACATGTATCATTGCCACCTGCTTAGAGGCCCAGGGGACTTAGTAAGTAGCTTATAAGTAGAGTTACAAGTACCCTAAATGGAGTTTCCCCAAGTATAACCCTACTTATAACCGACTTACTAACTCCCCTGGGCCTCTAAGTATTCCATTATGTTGGACCGTTTCAAGCAAGCACCCGGATCCGACTCGTGGCTGTTGATTCCTTGCAGTTTCTACGCGATGTGCGATCCCCCTACCCTAATTGCGCCCTAAAGGCTAAACCCTAACCCCTACACCCCTAAACCCTGATTACACCCCCAAAAAATGCTAAACCCCGAACCCCATCGCCACGGCCCCCCTGCAACCCAGGATGAAAACAAGAGCCTTCGGGTGGCTGCCGCAGTGATGGCCGCTTCGGATAACCTCGATCAGGATACTCATTACCCCCTACACCCTAAACCCTCGACCCTAAACCTTAAACCCTCAACCCTAAACCCCCAACCCCAGTTGCTATTGCATCGTTCTTGACTTCCCTGCTCCCAAACCCTCATAACCTTGTGAAGCCCTCTACGCCAAGATCCGAAGACCTAAACCCAATTCTTACAAGAGCCTTGTGGGCTCTTTTAGATCGGCCTACGAATTTCATAAACCCTAAACCCTACCTGGACCCCACATGTATGTTGAATAATGGCCTTTCATAGGTATTGGGCCATTCTTTTACCTACTTTTTGGGGGTTTAGGTAAACCTAGCATAATCCTCATCCACGCCCGTTCGACTTGGGCCCCTTTTTTTGAGGAGACGGGGTTTTTATCCCTAAACTCCGAGCCCCAAACCCTTGCGAGTTTGTTGTTGAGGCTTTAGGCTTTGGGGGCACGGACATAGCTCCAGACATGTCGGTTCTTGGTTCGGGTGTGTTTTGTTTGGGTTTTGGGTTTAGGGTTTA